GCCAAATTGTGTTTTGTTTCAGTTGAAAAGAAGACTTTATTGCACATTTTGCATCACTCCCTGTGAAATTTTCCTGTAGCAGAAGAGAGAAGAATGTGTAACTAGAGTGGTTGCTAAGGCAACTCTCATGGGAACTGAAAGCAAACTGTCTTTGGGACTTCTCAGAACTGTTGCAGAGAAGAAACATATTCATAATCTTCCTTTAAGCTTTTCTCTCCTTTTATGATGGGTGAGAACAAACCAGATGTCTGAAGTCGTCTACTTCTTTTTCCTTCTTACAACATTTTAAAACAATCCTTCATAAACTTAATTATATATACATTTCTTCATAATCTACCATGTCCTCATAAGGCTCCATGACAGTCAATCAGAGAGCCAGATAATCCCAAGGACTGCTTGGGGGTGCTGCTGGAAAACAGAATGATTGTAAAGATAAGGGTCTCCCAGCATGTAACCATTGGATCATGTAATGAGGTTTATTTCCAGGCCTGACTGCACCTAGCCATTTGTTGGTACAGAAAAAAAACACACTTTGTGGGAATCCATGCTTACTGAAAGAAAAAAACTAAAAAAAACCCAAACCAACAACAAACAACTGAACTTGGCAGCAGCTTCTCATTTAGGAACAACGAAAACGAGGCACAAGCTTTGCGCTCTTTTACCCCTTCATAGGAAACCCAGAGAATGTTTCAAGAGTGCTTTGTCAACAGATGCTGGTCCCCCGTGACCTGAATTCGTGGGGTTCAATAAGCTCAGTGCGGGTAGTGAGGAAGCAGCTCTCAGTACATACAGAACTACAACTCGCCAGGTCCTTGATCACTCTTCCTGAAATCTGACATTTCGGGAATTATATTGCCAAAATTTCAGAAAGTGCAGTGGGGAGCAAGCTGCTTATCTAGTTATGCACAATGAAAAGAAAGCTCTTGTCTGTAATACTGTATGGTTCTTTTTCCTTCTACAACTCTTCCAATTGACAAAGAAAATCAGGCAAAAGACTCTTGACCTAGATGGGAGCAAATCTCCTTAAATTTATATGTCTCAGAACATGGCATCCTTTCCATTAACTACTATAATGAATGCCCTTTCTTTTAACTGCTATACTAAATGCACAGTCCATGAGTTGTCAAGAGAACAGAGTTAGCTACTGTAGATTTTCAGTTAGTAAAAAATCCCTGGAGTAAATCCGCAAACAAACCACCAAAGATGCTGCAAAATTCTTCCAGCTATGCCTTGCCAAACGTGGATGAAGCTTTCTATATAGAGAAACAGGGAGTTCAGGTCTGTCTCTTATTGAGACTATTGATTTTGTGTGAGCGACAAGAATGGGGATTTAAGGCACAAGATTCTATGTTTCCCAGTTCCAGGATGATCCAGTTTAGGAAGTTTTATGGTGGCTAAAAATTGGCTGGCACAAAGCCTGTTAAGCAAAAGCCACTTTGTAGTGTAGTCCTAGTGATAGGACTTGCTTGAGAAAATTCAGGCAAATACTTGGACTTCATAAATTATTCACATCAAGTTGAAATGTTATTACAGATTAAAGTAGAACAGGAAAATTAAATGGGTCTTCTCTCTAAAACAAGGAAGGCAGGCTTGGTGAGGATGACACAGCTTGATTAGGGGTCAGTAAGGTACAGGAACTGTTACAGGGAGGAAGACAGAAACTGGGTTCTGCTGCTGACCTGCTGAGCAATCGGGATTCTTTCATCACCTCCTCTGCCTTATTAATTCCTGTAAAAGGTTAGTAATGCTATCCTCTTAATAAAGCAGGTTAAGAGTAAGTGCTGGATCAGAGCAGATCTTAATCCTGTAACTTAAAGGCTTCATTTTGATTTGGGTCTTATGCTTAATTCTGAGGTCTGACTGAAGATGATGTAGTTTGGGTAGACATAAAAGCTGTCTCTTGCTTAGCTAATGCCTAAATCTAGAAGTAACCAAGTTCCAAAAAGTTTTCATGTGGAAATTTCTCCAGATTGCACATTTGTATCTGGGCTTTTTGTGTTTGTATTTCTGCCTCAGGATGTCTTGATGTGGGTTGGTTGTTTTGCACTTACTTCATGCCTTCTCCAATATTCCCTTATATAGACTCTAAAAGGGATTCAGTCTGTAGGCATTCTTAGACAATGTTTATTGGTATTATACATGGTGCCCATACTCCCAAAATTCACTGTATTGATTTTCAGGACACTCTCAGAAAAAACAGAGAACTGAGGCATTTTACCCCCACTCTGGAGGAGAGGGCAACTGGATTGGTTTGCATCTGCAAAGGATGAGTGTGCTTCTCTATAAAAGAGAAGAAGGGACTTGCATAATATACCTTCCTGTCTTTCTAGGGCAGAGGTGGGAAGAGAAATATAAAGGAAGGCGCCAAGAAGGAAAGCCCAAGAAGGAGGCAATTGGTGCCTAACACATATTCCAAGCTGGCAGTTGTTCTGGTTCCTTCCACTGAAGACAATTCTTCCTATGCAAGATCAATATGTTCACAGTGGCTGGTTTTGGGTGGAGCGGTGTTGGGTAATGGATGCCATTGAGGTATCTACCTTTTCCCAGGTATTGCAGGTGATTGTGGGAGAATGGCACAAGGTAATGTGCTGTGGCAAACAGGAACCTAGAGATTGTATGTTGCCATACTTAATTATTAGTCACCTGAATTCCTTTTGCCCCTAGGTCTGTGTGGTTATGAAGCAATGGTAAGTGTTTTTAAAAAAACAACGAACCAAACCAAAACCAGGGGTTTAAGCTTGGACATGTAACTAACATATGGAAACAAATACTTACCTTACTGATTGAAGAAATTATGATTTATTAAATGAGACATCTCTCCGACATGGAGTTTCTTCAACATGAAGCCCCAGGGTAATGGTCTCTGATCGCATGTTGAGCTATGGACTCAGAAGAGGATTTTGGGAATGGAAATCTCACAGAATGGAAATTGGCTTGCCCTTAGATCTGTGTAATGCTCTGTTTCAGGGGTATGCAGACACACACACTTGTTTTGTCTTTTCTTTTTCCAGTCATGGCCAAAATCTGTATTTTAAGACTATGGAATGAAAATATCTCATCTCTATCCTTTTCCACTCCCAAAAAAAATCCATGAGTGCCACTCAGGGTTCTGAGTGCAAGCTGCAAAAGCTGGGTTCTTACAGGATTTCTTACTTGGAACAGTTGTTCCTTGTGCTTGGCAGCCTATCCAAAACACTCTGATAATCTGGTCTGGTTTGTTTCCAGGGTCGTCCTACTGAATAAGGCATGATTCCCACCATAAACTTATTGCTTAACAGAAGAGCATAGAAAGCCTCCTCACGAATCACACTTTTGTTAAATTAACCTGATCCAGGTAAATGTCAACATCTTTTGTTAAAACTTGATCCAAGTAATTCTCAGTGGTATTGTTTCATCTGAAAATGGAGGCCATACCTGTTTCCCAAGGATGTTTGATCCCATGGCCCTTTTCTTGGAAGCTATTCAGCTTAGACTATTTCTTCTCACCTGCTGTTGCAAGCTGCCACCCCCATGGGTCTGTTTTGATGGTAAAGCCTCCTCTAATCCCAAAGGATCATGCAACAGGAAAGGAATATAACCGTGAATTCTCTCAGCCTTCAAGTCAACTCCCCTCCGCTTTCTCTCACAGACCTGACACAGTAATGATTCTTTTAATGGGGCACAACCAATTGCTGTTTGGTGGACTCTGTGAGGGAAGACATCATTTGGATCTCTGCCAAAGCAGGACCTGTATTGTTAGGGCTGTCCTTTTTGTTCCCATCCCTTGATATTTCCCAGGCTCTCTCACGCCCTATATATTTTCCATTAAGTTGGTTGTTGTTCTCCTTGTCCTATGCCTTTTCTGACCAGACAGACAGCCACTGGTTGAAGTGGGATGTTGCAGACAGTAGCTTGGGTACAGGCTGTGTGATTTCCTCAGTCTTACAGCTCAACTACATGCCATTGCCGGCACAGCGGAAGAGCTGTGTCCTACAGGCCGTTGCCCATGACTATGTAAATACAATGTGCTCTTGTGACCAGCCAAGCAAGGAGATGCTGTGGGAGGCCAGCAGCTCCTGGCAGACACCATCTGCAGGAGTGCATTGCATTCATGGGGGAGGAGGGAGAAGGAACGAGGGGCAGACACACGGACTTTGTCACCTTTGTATGCCTATAGATTGTTAGGCTACCTACATGAACTTTTTTTGGATTTATGAAAAGTCAGAACCAACTGAAGGATACTGTTTGCTGTATTATTTCTGAGCTTAGATGGATTTTTGGTTTTCTGTTTTGCTGAAAATGCACTTACACAGAAAGCAACCCTGTGTTTTGTTAACTAATCATGTTTTCCAACCCCGCACATCAAGAAACACAGCGACTATTACAGACCAGCGTCTGTGCCCACAATTACAGAAACATGGAACTCATTCTCCCTTCCCCGGGCTGGATGGAGGCCGGGGCAGCGGGGGACTCGGTGAGCCCACGCACAGCAGCCGTCCCTCCGAGTCCTCTCCTAAGCGGACACTTTCCCTGTGCCATTCGCCGGCCTGGGAAGCGCCGGCCACGCCGCTGGCCCCGGCGCGGCTGGCGGCAGGTGCGGGCGCGGCCACAGCACAGTGGGCACGGTGTGCAGTGGGCAGGGCGGCGGGGCGAGGGTCTCCCCGCGGGCTTCGGAGGCAGACGGAGAAGGAGCGGCGCAGTAAGGCCCCGCCGCAGCTCGGCCGTGCCCGGCGGGCTGTCGGGGCGGTGCCGCCCCCGCCCCCCGGCACCTGTTGCCCGCCGGTTCCCGGGTGGCCCCGCCCGCCTCTCACCCCGCGGGGTCCGGGGGTGGCCGGAGGCTCCCGACCGCGGTGCCCCCCGTGCCCTGGGGGCGTCGCGGCGAGGCCGGCGGGGGTGCCCGGCGGCGGGGCGAGGCCGGTGCCGCGCTCGGAAGGCGCCGGGGGGAGCGGCGGGCAATGGCCGGCGGCGGTGAGTCACCGCCGGGCCCCACCTGCCGTACTTAACCCGCCGCCGGGCGGCCGCCGCCGCACTCGCGGGTTGCGCTGCTGCCGTGGCCGGGAGCGGCTCCTTCCACCTCCGCCTCCTCCTCCTGTTCCTCCTCCGCGCGGGGTGCTCGGCTGAGGCGAGGCAGTCGCTGCATGAACGTTTGTCTCGGGAGTAGGAGCAGCACAAGCAGCCCCCAAAATGCCGAAGCCGGTGAGTGGGGCGCGGGTGGGAGGCGCCCCGCGGGGCCGTGCCGGGGCCAGCCCGCCCGGCCCTGGGCGTTCGGGGCTGCTCGATATTTATTTTAATATCCTGGAGGGCTGGGCACCTCCGGGTGCCGTGGCGTGGGCTTTTGCCGGGCTGGAAGAGCTGAGTCCAAGACTCCACTCCCGGTGCCGGGACGGGGCGTTTCGGCTGGAGCGCCCGCGGAAGTTCTCTTTGGCGCCGGGAGGGAGCGGCGGGCACGGCGCTCCGAAGCCACATCAGCGACTGCTCTCAGCAGGAGGAGTCGCCAGCGCGGCTGCCATGGGGCGCAGCGGGCAGTGGGCCGTGGGTAGGACGGAGGGGTGCCTGGCCGTCCTGCCGCCGGGAACTGGGGAGGATGGAGCTTCGGGAGCTGTGTTCCACAGATCAGGCGGTGGATTGCTCCGTCTTCTGTAACGCTGCCGTAACGCTTCTGTAATGCACAGAGCTCCCTAGCAACTCTCAAAAGAGGAGCTTTCATCATTCTCCCGCTTAACGAGAGGGTGGCAAAACTTCGCTGGCTTCCATTTACTATGCGCGTGGCTTGTGCATTTCTCTACAGGAAACGTGTGTCCGCCTGTACATATAGGAGAAACCTTGTTTCCTCCATGTTTTGTTATCTAAAAACTAAACGCCAGGGGTTCCTAATACAGTTCTTCACAGAGGTCTTTACCAGTCATTATCAAATATCTATTTCTTCTTTTATGTCTGTTTCTCTCTTTTCCCCCCCTTTTTTTTTTATTGTACGGACTTGTCTTTTTCGTTGCCCCTTCTTTCTGTTGACACCACCACCTGCTCGCCGCCTCCCCCCTCCGGCCTTCTAGTCGGTTTTTTGCTTGTTTTATTTTAAAGTCTGCTGCTACCGTGCCAGTTAGAAACGATAATTCCCTTGGGGAACCAACTGCCTGACGCAGAGCTTTGAGCAGTCATTGGACCAGACGCACTTTTGAACTTTGAAGAGCATAATCAGAGCAGATTGTTCTTACTATCACTATCTGTTTTCAGTAGAGGCAATATTTCTTAAAATGCAATGCAGTGAAAGACTTATGTATGAGCTCACATAAATGAAATATGAAATAAGAGTAAACAGCCTTATCTTTAAGGTAATAAGCAATTCATGTTTTACCACTGTAACATTGAAGTTAGTTGAACTTTTTTTTTCTTTTTTTCTTTTTTTTTCTTTTTTTTCCTAAAGTGCTTAGGTTAACTTACATTGCAGTTTCTGTAAACCTACAAAAAACCCCCCACACCAAATGATGTTCAGTCCTTCTGAGAACTGAAAAATCTTCAGTCTCCCTGTATTTCATCAGTAGGAGGTGATATATTGCTGCATATAATAATGCATACTGAAAGGACCCTTCTGTAACTGGGGAAGCAAATACATAATTTACAAAGCATTGATATAAAAGGTTGTGTGTGAATAATCTCTCTCTGCCTTATTAGTTGTTTGCTAATTACAGAGTGCTTTCTCGAAATATCCTGGTTAGAATAATCTGAAATCCTGGTTTAGGACTAAGTCGCACTGGAAGCCATGGATAGGTGTAGAAAAACTCTTTAATCTCTTAAAAAAATAATACAGCTGTGTTTATCTTTTTGCTTGGCATGGCTATGTTTGTATTCCCTCATAGATGGTGATTTTTCTTTGTGTCTTGGCTGACTAGCCACTGAATAACAAAGGTGCATGGTGTAGATCACCTTCCACTGGGGAAGGCAATGGTAGTCTAATGATTTCTGAGACGTGACCTACTGGCTGGGATTTATGGACAAGACTGTGTCAATAGTTTGCACAATATAAGGGGTTTTTTATTATTGTTTAATCTGTTGTTCAGTAGGGCTAACTGATACCGTACTGTAAACGAAAAAGAGGAATTTTGTAGAGGTTATTTTAGTAAAACACTGTTTGGTCTGACTGCTTCAGACTGAGACTGGATTTGGATGCTTCCCAACTCAGCTCATTTGATCTTAATACAGCTAAATAGGATTTGTGTCAGTTTGCATGGAGAGAGGATGTAAAGCTGTCACTCCAGAGGCAGAACTGTACTCAGGACAAATGTGACAACAGCCTTTGGCATGTGTGAGGAATGATAGCATGACCTCTTGGGAAGCAGTTTTAGTTTTTGATGGGTATTTGACATGGGTGCTAAATATTTATTACCTGTGCTTGTTTGCATGTGTGTTGTCTGCATGGCATACATAAATAAGATGTTGCTTGGCAGACTTCATGCTGCTGTGTGTGAAGTCTGACACACTGGTCATCAGTTGTTTACCAGTAAAGGTTAAGATGACAGAAAGTAGAATTTTGGCAACACCTCTTCCTCTCTGCTCCTCCCCCCTAACCCACTAAGCTAAACCTTTACATGAAACTGTTTTTTAAATAAAAATTATGCATACACACACAGAGCTTACGGATCATGTTTGTAAGTTATTATTTCACCGTAAACAAATAGCGAGTCCATTAACACTAGAACGATAGTGATTTTATATTTTAACTATATACCAAAGTGAAGTGCGAGAAGGCCAACTGTATTCCCAACTCTGTGGTAACATTTGATCACAATTAGTTGTATCTGATGCATGCTTACCATGCTCAAAATAAATTTTAGTAACAGTCCTGAAAATAATTCTGAAATGAGTATATTTGTTAGTATAGACACATGTTAATATATAATTTAACACAGACGTTCTGCCATGTATAACAGTTACAAAGTAACAAAATCTCTCCAAGATAAGCTGTAAATATATAACTTGTACCCAGTTCATAAGGGTTTATGGCTAGGAGTTCATAAGCAGTTCAGATACATGATTTGCACCTAGTCTGCACAGAGGTTCATTAGATTGTACAGGTAGTGAATTATTGCATAAGGAAATGCAAAAAAATGCTGTCTAATCCAAATCTTGCAGTGTTATTGGGAAACAAGTGAAATGCTGAATAAACTTACTTACTCAGCCTTGTATCTTTTCATTACTGGAGTGTCTGTGTGCTCTCTGCATTTTTCCTACATTCCTGGTGCTAGTTTATTTCTGTTTGACTCATTGAATGGATGGTGTTTTGGGTGAAATATATCCTTTTGTAAAACAAACCAATCCAATAAATTGTGGTTAGAACAGCATGGCTGCGGGCTAATGAACAGTACTTACCGAAGGAGGAGGAAATGTGATCTCTGGTCTATAGAGCTGTTAATTTGATCTGACCTCTGAGCATTCTTGATTACTTTATTGAGGGTGGATTTTTTTCTTTTTTTTTTTTCTATTTTTTTTTTGTTTGCTTTTGTTTTGTTTTGTTTCTTCTTGGGGGGAAAAAAACTTAAAACTTCACAAGAAATTGAGTGAGCTTTGCAGTAGAGCATTTGATTGATGTAGTGTCACACAAGAACTTTTAATACTTGTATGCATGTATATAAAACTGCGTTAAGAGAAGACAACAGTAAATGCAGTCTAACACCTTCTGGTGCTAAAGACAAAATATAAGTGAATAATATTCTGAGGCACCTTTTTTTTTTTAATACCTTTTTTAAGGGCCTGTGTTCAGAATGCAGAGCATAGTAATGAAATCTGGTAATGCCATGCTGTTCAGGGGGAGATGTTATTGATGCAGAGGGCCAATATGTAAAGGGGATTGAAGGACAGGGTAATAAAGTCCCACTGCAACAGTTAAACTTGGAGGGGTGGGGAAAGAAGGTCCCTCACTAAATAGCATAGAAGGAGATGGATTAGTCAGTGGTAGAATGACTGTTCTATTGTCCGTGTCATCTGCAATGCATAGGGTGGCTCTAACAGAAAGCATTAAAAGAACGTACTAGTGAGATCTTTCCTTGAATGTGTCCAGGAGAGAAAAATTCAAAGCAGAACCTAGGGAAGAGTTTTGAGATGATCAGAGGCAGAAAGCCACCTCACCATAACAGTGTACTTATCTAGTTTAACCTGGTAGAATTCAAGGAGTTACCTCTTCCTTCACCTGTGTAAAATGTAAGGGGTTCAAATGCCAAAGAGGAGGAAGAATTGCTTTAAGTGGAATTTGTGATTTAAGGGACTTTAAAACCTTAAAGCAGTTAAGTGTGTGTGGTGGGGTTTTTTCTGAGTGGGTAAGATTTTTTTTTTTCTCCTTCCTTGTTGATCATATTCAAAGATTATTCCAAGACCTAACATCCCTTAAGATAAAATTTGACAAGGGCACAGTTTAATGCTGCTGCCTGTAGGAGTGGGGAACTGGCACTGATGTCTCAAAAGGGTTTTCCCAACTATGTTGTTAATCATGTGCTAGTGTGTGCTAGGCATTAAGTCGTTAGACAAGCCCTCCATACCTATTTGATGTTGAATATGCATGTATTCTGAAAAAAGAACTTTAAGGCAGCGTGCAAGCCTTCTGCCAAACCTTTATCTGTCTGTGAGCAGATATGACATTAAAATTCAACAAGTTTTCAATAAGCCAGCCTAAAAAATATATGAGTGTAGTGACAGGAATTTATTTCTAAATATAAACAGTTAATAATTGTTCCCAATTTATTCTTGAGTGTGTCTTCTAACTACATCTAGTGGTTTGATCTTAGTGCTCTTCACAGCAGATTGCTGTAACTGGACTGAAGTAAAAATACTTTTTCATATCCTTAAGTGCTCATAATTAATTAAAATACTCTTAACTTATGGGCAGCTATAGATTTAGTCAAGAATAAAATATTACCCTTGTAAGCATGAATTGCAGTACATTGGGTGATACAGTTTGTGGTGTACTTAATGCCAAGAGATGTATGCTCACTTTGGTGCAAAACGGAAACTTAAGGAAGCTTCCATTTGCCAAATGTAAGAACTCCCACTCACTGCTGCAAAAGAAAGGTGGAGGATTCTGAGTAGTAAATTTAGGGAGTAGTTGACAGATGACTAAACTTTTAAAAGAATGAGTTCACAGTTTTACCAAAAACCTTATTTACTGCATGATCTGAGTAAGCATTTCCGAGGGCTGTTTGTTCTGGGGT